TTAGTCATTATCGACCTTTTACTACTTTCATGTTCTTATGAGACAAAAACAACAGCCAAAATTACTCATTCAATAAAGATTACGTTTATTTTCTTCTTAATGAATCATTCAAATTCTTTATAAGACATACCAATTGAAAACCGAACACAACCATCTATTTTGATATTATATACTGTCGAACGACTCAACCTCTATAAGATCAACATAAATTTTAAAAAAAAATGGTTCTTTCGATGTAATCTAAAATGTCCTTTTTATGACAACCTATCTTCTATCGGTATTCAGAATCAAAGAATTTCAAGCTAAATTTTATATATATTATGTAACTTTTTACTCTCTACAAAATTGTAAAAAGATTTTCAAAAGTAAATGGGAGATTCGAGGTCAAAACGAAGTTCACATCCGTTTCCTATATGTTGTTTTTCGATGGTTTTCAGTAGGAAAACAAAAGATTTTTAATAGTTTTCATTGTCATAACACAATTGCAAAGCAAAATAGATACGATATTTACAACCATTATCAAATACATTTCAGAAAAAGTGTTTTTCGACGAAAGATTCATCTGTGTTCTCTCACAACTTTATTTTCTTTTAAATTTCGCCCTATATAAGATCAGTTTTTCGCAGGAAAAGGATATTCTCTAATATGTATTTGATAATGATTGTGAATATCGTATTCAGTTTGCTTGATAATTGCTTTATGGCAATGAAAATCGCTAGAAATGTCTTGTTTTTCTACTGAAAACCATCAAAAAAAAAACTATATAAGAGACAAATGTGAGCCCCCTTTCACTCCAAACCTACCATTTTTTTTACGATTATATAGAGAATAAAAAGTTGCATGGATATATATGAAATTTGGCTTGAAATTCTTTGATTCTGAAGTTCGATAGGAGATAGATTGCTATCAAATGGACATTGTAGACTCATCGAAAGAACCATTTTTCATTCATGTTGATCTTATAAAATTCCAGTCGACCAAAATAGATCATTACCTTCGATTTTTAATTTGTGCATCTCATAAAAAATTTGAATGATGCATTGAGAAGAAAATTAGCGCAACCTTTAATTGAGTACTTTCGGCTGTTTTGTCTCATAAGAATATGAAAGTAGTAAAAGATCGATAATTATTAGTTTTTCAAAGAAAAAGTATTGGTAGTTAGAAATTTGTGGATAGTGGTTTCAAGTAACGATGCTCTGAATGTATAAGAAAAAAAAATTTTTATCCAGTGCCTCATATATTCGATGACCTCATGGTATCTCTCTTAATTTTTGGATGAATCATATGTATATGTCATGCAAATGTTAACAGAGACCATAACGAATAAGAAAATCTTCGTTTTGGATTCGATTCGACTCAGACTGTTACAGAAAAAAGATATTCTTCATTATTTTCTCTCTAAATGTTCTTTTCTGAACCAGCTATTTATACAAAATTGGACGAGAGACCAACGAATGCTACGAAAATTAGCCGAAAAAAATTATAATAAATGAATAACAGCTTGTTTTAGTAGAAAACTTTATTTAAACAGATGTAAAATAAATCATAGGCAGACATCACTCAATAATCTCGAAATTATTTGTTAAAATTAAAAAATCTCATTTTATTATTAAATTTATCATACCACCCAAATATTCTTATAAAATTGTAAATAAAGAACTATTGAAAACTGTTGAACCTATAAAAACAACTATATTTAAATTATATTAAACATTTGCGTCATTTGATTACACATTCACAATTGGCATTTCTGTTTACAACAAATAGATGGCCGACTTGATTATAATTTCTAAACTGTTATTCTCTTCTTTTGTATCTGTTTTAACTTATTTAAGTCAATGAGCAATTCCACGGTAAATACTGAATGATGATATTAGTATTGCATCTTGCTTTTTTTTCTTAAGATAAGAGATGAATTGTATTTTGTGTTTGAATATATTTCAGCGCCGTCTGTTTTTTTTTTATCTTATTTCTTTTTTTTAAATTTTTAATAGAATCGAATAAACGCATTTCCATTCAATTCAATATTATATTTCCTAAAGATTGTTAATGAACGCCATCTGCTATTTTTCATATACTTATTATTCTGACTAGATATGACTACCAATCGTATTCAACTGAATGTTTTTGTTTTCTACGGATGAAAAATGTACTTTATTCTATATTTTCCTATCTTATTAATATTTCTAATAATTTCATATTGCATAAGATAAAATTTATTTCGAATCTTCATCATTACTTGAAAATTTAAATAAATTTTGTTATTTTTTTTGTAAAATAATTTTAAAAGAAAAAAAAATCTAAACATTTATTTATTTATCTTTGGTATCTCAATATATATATATATAGCTATCTTAGATAAATTAAAACAGAAACAATGACATCCTTAGATCAGTTTGTTGGAAATATTCGACAATTATCAATAGATGGTAAATTTAGCGATTTAGCACAAACATTAACAAATCCAAATATTGATCATCTTAGTAAAAATATTCAACATATTGATTCAATTATTGCTACTTTTACTTTACCTGAACATTCAATGGTAAAATTAAACTTTCAAAAAAACAAAAACCAATTCATTGTATTTATTTTCTTTTGTTTTTAAGTGTATGTTAGCTGGTTTACATGCAATTACAAAAGCACCAAATATACCTGATTTTGATTTATTTCTTACACAAGTTGATACATTTATTCAAACATGTTCAGCTGAACAAGTTCATTATTTACCGCAATATCTATGTGAAATATGTCATGCTATTACAGAACGACTTCGAAAAGAAAATCGAGCTCGAGTTGGTAAGTTTATTGAAATAAGTCTAATCATAAAAAAAAATTGTTATTTTGCTTTCTGTGATCGACAACTTTGATCTTAAAAAAATTTTAATGATAGAAAACTTAAGCTTTTCGGCTGTCAACTATAATGAATAAAGTTATAAATATCGAGAAAACAAGTCTATGATGAATAAGAATGAAAATCAAGAATAAAAGAAGCAAATTTTACTATCAAATATGGCGTAACGAATATAAAATACTAGCGTATGCTTTTTCTTTGTGAAGTATTATATGTCATTTACTGAAAAAGAAACGAACTTTGTAAGTGATGTATTACTAGTGTACAGAAGATGGCCTTCACATATTGTTTGGATGTTATTATTGATTGATATTTTGTTATTCTTTTCGTATTATTATTTTTACGTTTTTGTTATCTGACATTTATTTAAACTTGAAAGATAAAATAGATTTACTTGATAATCTATTCTATCAATAAAAAATGTCTTGAATAACTTGATAAACTATGTAAATAAGAACAAATTAATCTTCTTCAATATATTGTTAAAGTGTATTGAACAAAAATAAACTTGATCATGAATTTCTAAAGTTAACTTCATACTATATGAACTAATTTCGATTTAGTTCAGTAGTATATAAATTATTCATGGAAGAAATTTGATCTATGTAGAAGCATTACTCATTTTCTTTCTCCTTTAAATTCAATCTTACTGAGTTCTTGTTATGAACTAGTATCATTTTTTTTTTGCATTAATTTTTCGTAGAAAATAATACAAAGAAAGTATTACATAATCTTTCTTTTTCATCATATTAAATCAACAAATCTTATATTAGATTGATCAAATAGGAGATAATAAAGTTATCAAACAGACGAAAATGATAATACACATAGTTTTTTTTTTATATAAATTATGAAGTATGTTTATTTTTATGAATGAATAAACATGAAAAAAAAATTCTTATCAAATAAAAAAAACCTATTCTTTATACTATAAATAGGAATACCAATTCTTTATCGAGCTATTGAATTACTTCGTCGTGAACTTGGTCAATTACTTTCTATACATTCTGATCTCTATCAACTGTGTCTTCTTTGTCAATGGTTTGAACCAGCATTAACTTATCTTGATATTGATATAATTGATATTAATCGTGAAAATGGAAAATTTGATGTTAAACATCTTTTACTTGCATATTATTATGGTGGAATGATTTATGCTTGTATAAAACAATTTGATCGTGCTGCAAATTTTTTTGAGAATGTTATTACTGTACCAGCTACAGCAACATCAGCTATTGTTATAGAAGCTTATAAAAAATATGTTCTAGTTAAATTAATATCTGGTTCAATATCAAATACTCAATTACCAACATATACAAGTCGAACAGTTCAACAAGCAGTAAAAAGTTTATGTGGTGCACAATATACAGAATTATTTAATATATTTAATAATGGTACATTAATACAATTTGATGAATTTGTTAATCATCATCGAGAACAATATGCACGTGATAGAAATTTAGGTTTAATAAAACAAACACGAAATGCATTTATATGTAATAGTATACAACAATTAACAAAAACATTTTTAACTGTCTCATTAAAAGATCTTGCTAATCGTCTACAACTTCAATCAACAAATGAAGCTGAAAAATATTTAATTGATATGATTGAAAATGGACAAATATTTGCATCAATTAATAAAAAAGATGGTAAAATAGAATTTATTTATCTATTTTTATTTAGATCAAAAAAATGAAAGAAATCTTTTATTTTAGGTATGGTTATATTTCATGGTTCACCAGAAAAATTTGATGCTAATAATATGTTATTAAAATTACAAGATGAAACAGAAAAACGTATGTTAGCTGAAAAACAATTAAGAGAATTAGAACGACAAATATCATTAAGTAAAACATATATTCAACGTACACAACAATCAAGCCCTTATCATGATCGTCCGAAAGTACTTAATTGATATATTGACTTATTTGAAAATTTTCTTTTCTGTTCTTTTTTTTTGTCTCTTATTCATGGATGTATTATCCAACAAACATATTAAACAATCGAGAAAAGAAATTTAACTTGTAAAAACAAAAAAAAAAAAAAAACGAAGAACAATTAAGATTCTCTTTCTTTTTTTCTTGCATTCTTCTTATTCTTTATAGATTATATCTGTAAATAGGCTATATTTTTGCTTTCAATGATGCAAAAAGATTTATCATCAATTCCATGGCCGAATACACTTCGTGATAGTAACGATGTATAGAAGAATTATTTCATATATCGATTTATTAATATTGATTATTTTTTTTTTAAGATTCCATCAACAACATCCGAATTCAATTTGCCTTCAACATTAAGTAGTGAACCGATGGATATTGATGTTGAACCTCGTCAATCAATTATTCGATCAACTGAACCTGATCGTTCACAAGCACGATATAATAATTCTTCAAATCAAAATTATGCTACTCATAAAGTATGATGAATATTCTCTTCCTATTTTATTTTATTTTTTTTTTTGTTATCGAAGAGGTTTTTTTCTTTTCTTTCTTCTTTGTAATATGTAAGATAAACTGTTTTTTTTTTATTCATCGTAGTTAAAAACATATAAGTAACAGAACGAAAAAAAAGCACGAAAACTTATTCTTACATTTTTGTTTTTTTTTTTTTCAATGAGAAATCTATCTTCGTTCCTATGAGTAACTGGCAAAAAAAAATTTTCATATTAACGCCTCAAATAAAATAATGGCAGATAGAAAGACGCAAGAACGTTTGCCATCATCATCTATAACACATGTTTTAAGTGAACTCCAACGTATATTCAAACCACAAGAATTGAACCAAATAGCTGTAAGAAACTAAAAATTCGAATAAAAAATGATTTCGTCCATGTACTAATAAATAATGTTAATTTCTTTTTTTTTTTTTGTAAATTTTAGCCATTGATGAAATCAATAATTCGACCGGCTGACAATGATGATGATAAAAATTCTTCTTTAGAACAAAATGAACAAATTTTTAATGGAACTTTAATCAACACTAATAATAATAATTCAATATCAGAAGCAGCTGGTTTTGATTTAGGTCGATTAGGAGAGATTGATGCTGATGCACAATTTGCTCTTCAACTTCAACAAGAAGAATATGAAAAAGATAGTTTCAGACCAAGTCCACGCTCATTTTTTCCATTTCAAGTACAAGAAGATGATGAATCACCTATTGAAACTTTACATCCTTTCTTCAATACTACTGAACCACATTTTGAAAATGATGAACAATATGCAGCATATTTACAAGAACAAGAAAGACGGCCTAGTCAACAATATAATAATCGATTAATACCACCACATATTCAATTTCGACAACAATCAAATCCTGAATTATCAGAAACTTCAGCAACTAATGAATCTAACACTCCACCTATTCAACCATTTTTCAGATTTCCTCAACGACGTTCTTCAAATACTGATGATGATAGTGATGAAGATAATCCTTATAGGGCAATGACTTATCCATTTTTTCAATTATTTGCTAATCAAGGTCGACCTTTACCAGGAAATTTAGCTTCAATATTTCCTGGTTTTCGAGCACGTGGTCATCGTCGTACAGGAAATCTTCAAGAAATTGAAGAAGATTTTGGTCCAGAAGATTATGAAGTAATTTAAAAACAAAAAGAAATAAACATTCAATTATAAATATAATCTTTATTTTTCTAGCGATTACTTCAACTTGATGATACAATACATAAAAAAAAATTAACTGAACATCAAATTAATAGTATTCGACAAGAAAAATTTATTCCTAATTCAAATAATACTGATGAAGAAAATAAATGTGGTGTATGTCTTGAACTTTTTGAAAATCAACAAACAGTACGTCGATTTCCGTGTAATCATATATATCATAAAGAATGTGCTGATCGTTGGTTACAAGTAAAGATTTTTAATTTGTTTGTTTTTTTTTATATATTTATTGTATTTGCATATTTTTAGGAAAATAATGTTTGTCCCATCTGTCGAGAACCACCAATTCATGTATCATCGTCAACAAATCAACGTCACCATAGAAGCATCAACAATATGAGACGACCAGCAAACAATAATCGAGTTTTTAGCAATCGAAATAATAATAATAATAACAACAATAGCACTGCTCATAATAACAATAATAATAATAATAATAATAATAATAATAATTATCATCGAAGAGGACAAGCACCTCAACGTAAATCGTGATACCTGTTAGATTCTTCATTTCATTTATTATAAACTTTTGATATATATATATATATTTGTGTGTGTGTGTGTATAACTATTTATAATGGAATCTATTTAGTATGAAAATTTGCGGAGTATATTTTTTTCCTTTATCCAATCTTAAATGTCATACAATGAAGCATTCATAGTTTTTTTTCGTTGTTGTACAAACAAAAGGAGACTACATTTATATAAGCACAAAAACGTATATCCATGAATAAAATCAATGAACAATTTGTTGTAGTATTATTTTATTGAAATATTTAAAAAAAGAAAAAAGAAAAAAATGGATTTTTACATTATGTATTTTTTTTCAGATGATTTATTCTACTGATAAACAATATGAAGGCAAAAGAAAAATAATTCTGTTATTTAACTTATTTTTCTATTTTAGATTCATCAATATCAAAATTAATTAATCAAGATAAGAATAATCATGTCTCTCGTTCTCTTAAAGCTGTAAAAGCTACACGATCACGAATAATACCATCTATATCTCTAACAGCAATGCAAGAAGATCATGATTATGATGAACGTAAGTATTTATCCAATCAAATTAATTAATTAATTAATTCAGAATAATTCTTTTTTATAGCACCATGTCCTAGTTTTGATTTACATCTATATGCACATATTGATCATTCGTCACTGAATCGATGTGTTTTTACACCAATTCCTCATCAAACAGGTAAAAAGAAACTTTAATTTTCTCAATTCTTCATTTTTTGAAAACATTTTTAGTTTCACAAGATGAACAATCACAACAAATATTACGTAAACGTAAATTTGACTCAGTTGATTCTGCTAGCGAATATGTTAAAAATACAAAATTTGGTAATGATAATGGTGAATTAGCTAATATTATATATCATATGGATATGCGTCTTGATGAACTAACACGTACATGTAATGGATTACGTTCAAGTATTCATACATTGACAAAAATGGTAACACAATTAGTTAACAATCAAACACAAGTAAATATATCAATATTAAGGCCAATACCTCTCAAAAACCCGATCTTGGAATAGATACATACAAATCGCATGAAATTGTCAGCCCGATATAATGACGTTTTTAGGGAGATATGGAACAAACAAGAGTCAAAAATAGCTCATTTAGCAACGTAAAACTTTCTGTGGGACTTTACTCTATACACTTAAATTAGTTTTTGTTTGAACAAGCATACCAAGATGCGGTAAATGACACAGTCCTTTTTTTCTAAATTCTTACTCTTGAAGAGAAAAGTTCAATGTGTGAAAAAATGGCGCTCGATGATTAACGTACTCTTTCACAACATAGTAACAATGCTTAAATTAAAAAAAAACAAGGGTCTGTCTCATGCTCTTTCAAACAAAAGAAAAAAGCTATGGGCTACAATAAGGCTTCATCCAGAATTCTGGAATGCGCGATGAAAAAAATATATTAAAAGAAAGAACATAAAAAACTGTTAGCACAATTTCTGCAGGACTAAATTGTGAAACATGCTATAGTTGCTGTGGATAATCACAAAGAGATTGTTTTATTCCATCTATTTTGAGATACATTTCTTCAGTATCCTTATATTGAATCATCGAGGAGTGCAATAAGGAAATGGTTTAACGAGATGTTATTGACACATGACCTATGAGGTTTTTATGGTTGTGTCTCTGTCAGTCTATAATAAAGTGGAGACGTTGTTAAGATGTCTGTGAGGAGAAGTGAGTCGAAATTTCTATTCCTATACTTCAACAATTCTTTTAAACCGTATTTCACCAATATTTCCCGTTTTTTTTTCTGAAAACAGTATATTTTTCGAGTTTTGGCAAAAACAAAAGTGCTGAAGAAAAGAATCGTGTCATTTATGAAAGATCAGGCATCGATCTATTTATCTTAGTTTTCATTTTTTTAATGAAAATTGACATTTTTTGACGAGAGGAGTAGTCTTTAGGAAAAAGAAGATTTTAATAATGATTATATCATTGATATAGAATACAGATATAAATGACTTTGATGATACATCAAACATGGAATTACCTTATACACATTCGTCATCAAATGTATCATTAAAATCAACATCGAATAGAAACAAACGAATACATAATGGTACAGATATTGTTTCACAAAGACCAACAGAATTTTTATGTCGACTTATACGTAAAGTTTATTCAACAAATGAAATTGTTGCTGGTATTAATCCTGATGAACGACTTGATAGAATTAAAGGTAATATTTGAAACAGATTTGTTATTCTAGAGAAAAATTATTATGATTATTTAGAAGCTGTAGCTGATCGATATTTTCCTGATGAACCCGAACGATTTGAAACATTTTGGTCTAGAGAAGCACATCAATCGATTCTTGGTCAAGCACGTGCTCAACGATGTCGAGATAAAAAAGCCAGGTATTTAATCTTATGTTATCATATTTTTATTGATTTATTATATTTATTTAGAAATTATCTTGCAAGCAATCATTGAATCTTCAATAGGAACTAAGCAATAAATGTAGACTTGTAAAATAGTCAAAAAAAGAAATAGAAAATAAACAACATATTATTCATTTGCCTTTCCTACTCTTGTTGTATTGTAACTTTATTATAGATATGCTTTTGTTTTTTTTTGTTTACAAAACAAAATTAAAAAAAAAAGATAATAGACACTTCGTATACATCATCATTAGTTTTCTATACGGTTTTAAGTCGAGGTTTTGGGGTTATATTGCATTAATAGCAATGGGTAAAGGGGCGACGATTATTGGATACATTTAATTGATGACAACAAGCGTTAGACTCTGATCTCAGAGTTACTTAACAACAAAAAGAACGTACCTTTGTGAATGTTCGAAATAGTGCAGTTTATGATTTTTGCGTAGATAAAAATATTAAGGATGATTCATCTACCACAACCTTCATATGATTAACAAAAAACATATGAATTGATCAAGTATAATTACTGTGGAAAATATTAGTATTTGTGAGCTTATCAACAAATATAATAGTGTGTTGACAACTGCTATAGTTATAATGGATTCATATAGCAAGCTTATTTACCAGTTAAATCAATAGTTACAATAATGATAATGTGAAATTAAGAAAAAAGAGAATATGAAAACTAAAAATAACGAACGCATGGCAACAAAGCAAAGACGAAAATTTCTGTTTGAAAAGCAAAAATAAACAAGACACATCGTTTTTCGATCAATTGATTATTGTTGAAAAAAAAACCTACTGTCTGTTAACGATTTTGCACTTGACGTATTTTATATAAGTATAATGAACCGGAAGAACACATTTGAATGTCACACTTCAGCTTCAAGGGGACTACACTGAGTACATTTTCAATGTGACAACGTATCTCTTTTTTCGTTGTTCTAATTTTGTATAACAAGAAAGTGAAAGGTACTATTATTTATTTCGATTAATACTTAAAAATCTAAAATTATATAAATACTGAATATTATTGACATCTATCGAATGTTGTCTATCTATAGGATCGGATGATAATTCAAATGAAAAGAAAGAAAGAAAGAACGAAATAATAGTCCATTTATAGTTTTGCATATCTGACTCATGTACTGTGGAAAGTTTCAAACATATTTGCATGATTAATTGATTATCCAAACATTCTGGCGAAATTTTTGTTTTCGTTTCATTTCGTTTTCAAATTTTCATCTATAAATCGAATGCCTCCCATAATAAAGATTTTTTTTTTCAATGTCAAGATTAGTTTTCTTTTTCTTTTAGATATAATGTCTTCAAATAAACAAAATAATCAAGAAATTTCAACATCTACAAATCAACAAACCAATAGTAACAATTCTATTACAACGAATCAATTTCAGTCAGAAGGTATTCAGTTGTAAATCATTGTAAAATATCTTATTTTATTTTATTATAGATCAAGTACCAACATCTGAAGCAATTCAAGAAATTGACGTTGCCGTAGCTGATCAAAGTGATAGGTATATAATTCGATGAATTTTTCGTTTTTTTTTCTAGATTTGTTGAATTTTTTTTTGTCTAGTTGGGAAACTGATGATGAAGGTGATTTTTATACTGAACAATCTAATGGTCGCTTATTAGATCAAGATGATGATGATGATGATGATTTACTTAGTTCAGGTTTATCTAGAAATCTAATTGAATGTTATCCAATGACAACTGCTGAAGAAATATCAGTAGTTGGTGTTGTATGTGATATTTGTCTTAACGAATATAAGGCTAACGATAAAGTACGAACTATTCCTTGTTTACACAGATTTCATACAAGATGCATTGATAAATGGCTTAAGGTTTGAGAAATATTTATTCGTTTTTTGTTTTGTTTTGTTTTAAAATTATAATTTTTATTCATTTTAGAAAAGCACTAAATGTCCAATGTGTCGAAGTGATTTACGAAAATCGAAATGGTATTCACCATAAATAGAAAGCTAAATCGTTTGTTCTCACTGTTAATGTTATTTTTTTTTTGTTCTTTCTTGTTATATTGAATGGTTCTCTCATCTTTCTATTTTTTTTCTTTTCTTATGACAATCTTTGTATGATTTTCGGGTCTGTGTGTGTGAACAGTCATCATATTCATAAAAGGAAAATCAGTCAACTATACAACGATCTTTTTTTTTTATCTATATTTGAGATTGTTCTCTTAAAGTTATAGGAAGATTTATGAAGAGTAATGTATGCAGTTTAAGTTATATGTGCATTGTTTCTCTCATCGTCATCTTTGATATGTAATAGACAATTTATTTAAAATTTTTTCACTATGCCACATTCTAGTTGATAAATATTCTTATAATTCACTTTTAGATGAAAATATTTCAGCATTTTTATTTATCATGACGCAGATTTTAATATTATTTCCCGTTATTATTTCATATTGTCTTGCAGAAGGTAATTATTTGTTTTGTTTTATGCCTCATCCTTCCTCCAAAACCTATTTTCTGAAGATGTCCGATTAATGAAAGTGCATTAGTAAAAAAAAAGCTTTTCACAACTGCAAACATCTTACCACTCAAAAGCCATAGTGCAAAATAGGATTTTCATGCGTACAAAGACTTTTTTTTTCGATAGACTTCAAGCTATAGGGTTCGGGCTATTCTTACTTCAAAGAGAATTCTTTACCGCTTTGAATAAGAGAATGATTTTTTTAATTTCATTTTTGATGCTCTCAAAATCTTAGGCAATGTTTTTCTAGAGAATCCATGATTGCTTTGATATTAAGGGTCAAATACTAAATTCATTTCCCTCATCCGAAAGAGAATGTATTTATCTATGAAATAAAACAATCGCAGTTGACTACAATGAATCGGAATTCGACAATTTATACAAAACCCAATTTTGAGACTTTCGAACTATATATCTTGAAATTATGCCTATACGTTTACCTCAAAAAGTGTCTAGTTTTTAGATAAATTGTTTTTTTTTTGGCCGAAGGAACAGGTCTTTATCAAAGGCTGAATTTGTCTTTTTCTTTTAAGTTTGGAATATTTATGTACATACAGGCAATGAACGTTTCGCTGGAACGGACAGTAATATTTATATTCGTTTATTTAATGCAAAAGATGAAAGTACTGGTGAATATCAATTAACTCATTCTAATTGGGTACCAGATAGTAATGATTTCCCATTACGAAATTTATTTGAAATGGGCGCACACGAACGATTTCGTATTCGAACAGAAGATATTGGATCTGTTGCAAAGATTCATGTAAGATTTTTATTCAGATTTTAATTATTTTTGCAGGTGCTTGAAATAGTCACAAATTTTATTTGAAAAAAATTCTGTATACAAGCGAACTAATGTCCGTACCAGAATTGAAGAGGATTGGGTATAAGCTGAGTAACTTGACAACGGTAATAACTAGCGACCTACGGTTTTCAGTAGTCGGAAGAGAAGCTTTTCGGAAAACATTTTATAAAATATACATGAAAACGATGTGACGTTTCAATGAAACTTTGATAAATTTTCTATTTCGATTACTGAAAATCATAGGTCGCTAACTGCTGCCATTGTCTAGCTATTGACCTTACACTCATCCCTCTTTAGTTATAATCCGAACATTAGTGTGATGTATTGGAGAAAGAAGAAAAATGAATAAAAGTAGAGAATAAGAATATATGCAAATGAATTGAATATTGTAATATTTTAGTGAAACTTTAAGACTTTATTATAATGGATTATTCTCATTCCAAAAATAAAATTATATGTAGATTTGAAGGAAATTCTATTTGATAATTAATTTGTTTAAAATATTCTAATTTCCTTTGATAAAATAAACGTTTATATTCATGAGACATTAGAATTAGATGAATTGTTTAACTTGTGAATTTTGATTCTTTTCGAAAACAAGATTTTTTCGTTTAATTTCTTCATTAGTCAACGTTCTTGTCATTATTCTTTCCACATTCTTGATTTTCTGACAAGATCTACCACATCAGTAAGATCCTTGTATTCTTGAATTCTTACTTAATCCTCGTACTTCAGACGTAATTAATTTATAAGTCAACATGATTACCTTCTATCGTTACTATTTTATATTTAATATAAGCCTTTAGTGTAGTATACGAAAAAGTAAAATATAAGTACAACAATAACAAAAAATACATCTCATTTCACATAATGTGCACAAATAAGAGATGGAAAACATTTACAATGGTAAATAAAAAGAACAAAACAAAATACAATTTTACAGTCAAACTATAAATTTAACAAGTTCATCATTAAGAAAAAAAAAGGAGAAACAAATAATCGAAGTAATCTATCTGCATTAATAATACGTAGGTTTTATAGTTCGTCGTTGTGATAGAGTTGTTTTTTTGGTTAATTCGATGATCCTTATTCAGTAAATTGAACGTAATAAATATTAGCTGTCAGCGTCCAATCTAAGATCCGGGTTTTTAAACATGAATCGAAGAAAAATTTGATATCAAAACTCAATTTTAACTTTGAAATTATTGTTGGATTCAGAACTTTTTATTCATGAATTACAACAAATTAATAATATTTTCTTGTATAATATCTGGTTGAAAAATCGGTGCTAGATTGAATAAATTTTCTATGTAAATAAAAGTTCAACAGAAAATTCTGTTATAGACGTTTAAATCAAATTTTCATGTTCAACCGACTATGCGCAAAAGAAGTATCATCATTGCATTAAAAAAAATCCGGAATCCAACATTGATTTCAGATTTCTATTCGATCCAAGTTTGGACTAATTCAAACTCGGATCTTATATCGGATGCTGACATATATTATGTGTGTACATAAACATTATATGCTACTTGCCTTGAGGGTCAGATAAGAGTCTTGAATATTGTCTGAGCTTCAAAGACACTTAGATATCATGTAATTCTATCCAGTTTTCTAATTTCTTGATGTATCAACTCGAGTTCCTTTTCGTTTTGAGCTTCGAGCAAGAATTTGTTTTTCCTTTCCTATTGAGAAATATTTTCACCGGAACTTCAAAATTAAAAAGAATC